AACTGACCAAGGTGATATAAAATTATCTTAAAAACTCCTTCAAGGTATATATATCATTATGCCCGTTCCAGAAAGCTGTAAAGGGGTGTTTGCCTCCCACACCTGAACTCTGTCACCAGCTTACAGTGTCCCATGAACACACAGAGAAGAACAGCATGTCCTTCCCCCACAGAGAACAGGAATTGGCAAACTTCTCTGTAAAATATCGGAGTATTTTAGCCTTGTGGACCATGTGGTTCCTCCCACAGCGAATCCACCTGCTGATGAACTGCCAAAGTGGCAGAGACGACACATGGACAAAGGCCACAGCGAGTCCCTAGAAATGTGTCTGCAGAAGCAGGCAGCGTGGTCTGATCTGCGGGCTGTCGTCTGGCAACACTGGTGTAGACGAGTTCACGCGCTTTAGGTGCCATTCTTAATAATGATTTGCTGTTTCAGAGAGACCCGACGTGGTACGGTTAGCATCGGATTCATCTTGGGTCAGGGGGTCCCTAACAGCCCATCACAAAGAATTCTGTGCAAAAACTTTTTCCAGTGCTGGAGAATTTATCTATGAAATAGGTTGTTTCCATTGACACTTTCAGGAGTCATTTCTCAACCGTGAGCACCAACATTCTTTCAAAAAATTCCATAGTATGGGCAAATGTTCAAACGAGGGGAGCTGGTCAACAGTCACCGTGTTGGACCGGGGATCTGCGCCCATCGGAGGGGCTGCCGTCTCCTCCCCCTGACGGTGTCGACCTGGCAGCTCCGTGTCCTGCAGGCGTCTTCAGAAGGCCTTGGAAGCCCTCGTGCCATGCTGGGGCGATGTCTGCCCTCGCGCCATCTTGAGCAAACATTCCACAGGAAGGGCTGGTGTCCTGCCAACCTACAGTGGGACATACAACCTGAGAGCTGCTTCCAGTCGAGTCCAACTCTGAGCGTTCAATTTCTATTTTTTCTTTCACCCCAGGCCAATATTCTCTTTTAATAAAAAAAAAAAAAAGTTACTCTTTTAAATTTATGTAGAAATTCAATAGTGCATATTTTACCCAATTTTACAATATTGTCCGCGTGACGTTGTTCATGTGTGTTGGCAAAGAGGGTGGGTGCGGGACACAGGCCGCTCTGGCCCAAGGAAGCAGGGCGGGCCTGGCCAGACCCTGTGCGGCACATTCTCCTGGCACCCGGAACACAGGACAGTATATGCTATTAAGAAATATTGCCCTGGCCAGTTTGGTTCAGCGATTAGAGCGTCGGCCTGTGGTCCAGAGAGACTCGGGTTCGGTTCCCGCTAAGGGCACGTACCTCGGTTGTAGTTTGTCCCCGGCCCTGGTTGGGTCGTGCAGGTGGCAGCCACTCGATGTGTCCCTTTCACATCGATCTCTCTCTCTCTCTTCCTCTCTCTCTCTCTCTCTTTCTCTCTCTCCCTCCCACTCTATCTGAACAAAAAATGGGAAAATGTCCTCGGGTGAGGATAAAAAAAAAAAAGTATTCAAAGGAAAACAAACCTACAATTTTCTGTCTTTTTTCATAATTCCTCACTGTATAATTTCCAATAGTAACATTCTGTGTGAGCATGGGCAAGTTTAATTTTACTGGGTCCCAATTCTCTTCTATGAAATGGGAATGTCCATAAGCTCTCCCAGGTTGAAAAGAAAAATGGACTTGTGGGTACCAGGGCAGACAGTTTCCCCAGGAGCTTTGGGGTCTTCGGAAGGTTCGCTGTGTCTGCTGAACTGATGAGTGGACAGAGCTGCTCTTCTCCAAGGACAGACTAGAAAGGTGTCTGCTCAGGGCAGCGGGACCTGAGGGGCAGCTGTGAAATCGAGGCGGCGGCTGCTTCCTTCCGTGAGCCCGGCTGAGTCGCAGCCCTTGCTGGGCAGGGCCGTGTTTGAGGTGTCACATGGGCCACAACGGAGGGCCCGATGCCCGCAGAATGGATATCCCCCTGACGCCCTTGGCATCTGTGCTTTCGATTCTGGAAACACAGAAGTGTCCTATCCACTCCCCGAGAGAAAAGGACTGCGAATGATAACATTAAAATGCTTCTCAGGAAGGCTCGGTTCCAGGGCTAACCTTTGAAAGAGGTAAAAAAAAAAATGTACTCTGAAGCAATAATGGGTGAATGGCAGCTTTGATACCTGCCCTCTCCCCAAATGGACCATTTATTCCCTGGAAGTAGTTTCCGACCTAGAAATGCACCTCAAGGTGAAGTGGTGTCATTTTTACTTGATTTTATTTGGGGTAAAGATCAGGTGTGTGGGTAAAGACTAAGACATTGCTTCATGTACTAGAAAGTGTAGTGAACTTGAACTCTCTTCTTGCAAAGGAAGGTCTCATACTAAAGGCAGCAGAGTACGCATAAAACATCATAAATCTAAACTCATCCCTAGACTTTATCTCATTAGGGCAACATAGATTTGGGAGAAGAAATAAAGTAGCGATCTATATTTAGGTCTGAAGTTTTTCATAAAGTTCACATCCCTAACATTAAACATTATTTTTAAAGTTATTTTTCACTTTTGCATTTAAAATATACAAGTCCAGCCCAGCCAGTGTGGCTCAGGGTTGAGCATCGACCCATGTACCAAGAGGTCGCCAGTTCGATTCCCAGTCAGGGCACATGCCCAGGTTGTGGGCCGGATCCCCAGTGTGGGGCACGCAGGAGGCAGCCAGTTGATGTTCTCTCTCATCGATGTTTCTCTCTCTTCCTCTCTCTCTAAAAATTAATGAAGAAAAAAGTATTTTAAATGTGCAAGCCAGGATATTAAAACAAGACAATAAAATAGTCACAAAAACTGATATGCCATAAGCCATCAGCAGAATGAATTTTTTACTTACTACTATGAGAGTAACAATTCTGATAAGCATCCACTCAGTCAAATTCAAACAAAACCTAGGGAACAAATGGATATCATCTATTTCCATTCCTTTTGCAAGAATATAATTAAATATATGTAACTGTTACTACTATAAACATTATAGTAATATTTTCCCCATGACTGTGAGAAGACAGGAATAATTAATAGTACAGAAAGTATGTTTTTGGCATTTCTTAATATATAAAATCTATTCCATATTATTATAGTAATGTGTTTTCATAACATTATGCATTTAAATCTGGGTCCATTGCTTTCATCTGCAGGCTTTCTCTGCATGACAGCTTCTGGGGACACATATGCCGCAAATTAAACCAAAAAAATGAATCAGAGTTTACTTACAATTAAAGAAATAAAGTGACTAATAAGTAGGGCAAGAGTGAAGTTAAGAGTAAATAATTTAAAGTCTAAAAATTCAGCATTTCACGACTCCAGCCTAGGAGTTAAAACATTTTAATAGTTGACATAAACAGGATCTAAGAACTCACCCTTGATCTAAACAGAGACTCTTTCATATTTTAAATGGTTTACCTCTATGACGACACAAGCCATACAAAGTCCAACAGGTTTTGTTTCTTTTGTGAACATGTCATGACACCTTTGGTTATAAAATATTGAAGCTGATAGGCTTCCTTAGCACTCAGTACATGGTGCACTGAAGTTAAAATACTCACATTTTATTTCTGTAGCCTAACTTAAAACACAAACATTTCAAACATCAAAAGCAAAAATCAAATGCACACATGATAACCCCAATAAGTCCTGCTATTCTTCAAGGTTTATCAAATAAATCTTCATTAGATAATCGGAGTTCATTAACCTACATCTGCAACTGTGTTTTGTGATACAGATCCCTTCCGAACCACTTGAATGCAAGGGTTAAAGGAAATGCTCAACGAGGAAAGATGAGGCCCCGTGAAACCCAGATCCACACTCCTTTGTAAGGGCAGAAAGAAACGGAAGGCCCAGTAGTCCTTTGGTGACGACCCCTTCTGCAGGCTGCGGTGTGTCCCCCAGGGTGGCTTGGAGGTGTGTTCCTGGAGCTCCTGACAGGATGTCAGTTGTACGGCAGCCGTGGTTATAATCGATGTAACAAAATCACGAAGCAGAGAGGGTGGGGCAGTTAACTGAACGCACTCTTCACAGCTCACAGATGTACAGATGATGCTGCTGAAATCCAAGGCAGCTTCCCACAACGTGGCCAGGACCACAGTCCAAACAAGAAGCCCTGCATCCTGTCGCTCTTCCAAGACTGACTGACACACACCTCCTTTGCTACCGGGTGACCTGTAACAAATTCAATAGTGAGTATCCAATAGCCCATGCCCACCAAACAGAACCCTTCCTGCCACCAGCCTCTACACCCCTGACTGTGTCACTGTGTACAGTTGGTAGTTTGCACCTTTATCCATAACCAACTTCACCAAATCAGCTCTTCAAACAGTTCTTTCCACTTCTGCATTTAGGTTGCAAAGGAAACATACACGAAGGCTCCCACAGTGTAGTAGTGTGTCCTCATGTTGTATTTGCGGAGTTATAAAAAGCCCATCAGATTACTTATATGCAAGGCCCATCAGGTTAATTCGCACATGCTGAGCATGCTTTGTAAATGGTGCTAAATTTTGTCTAATGAATGCTGATTAAAATCAGCATATGTCGCCCTGGCCGGTTTGGCTCAGCGGTTAGAGCGTCCACCTGCGGTCCGGAGAGACCCGGGTTCGGTTCCCGCTAAGGGCATGTACCTCGGTTGCAGTGTGTCCCCGGCCCTGGTTGGTCGTGTGGGTGGCAGCCACTCGATGTGTCCCTTTCACATCGATGTTTCCCTCTCTCTCTCTCTTCCTATCTCTCCCTCTCACTCTATCTGTACAAAAAATGGATAAATGTCCTCGGGTGAGGATAAAAAAAAAATCAGCATATGTCAAGACCAAAATGTTGCCTTTGTTACTTATTAGTGTAGTTAACTTGAATTTTAGGTATTTTATAGAACTGCTGTATTTACTGGAAACATATATCCATGAAAAAGTTTGTTGATTTTTTCATTTTTAAACACCCCAGTCTCATCACTTAACATCTAAGAAAACAGACCAACAGTTTCTATAGTTTGATTACTTTATGTAAGAAATTTTACAGGTTAGATAATCAAGACACCAGCTACAAGAAAAAAGAAAAGCTTAAGACTTTAATGTGTCTACACCATAAAAATATTTTCAAAGTAATTATGTTACTCGATAGCACAGCCATCACGCCTTGTCTTTAGTCTGATCGGGTGTTTATTCAGAGCCCAGGTTCCCGACTGGCGCAGCGGCTCCTCCGTGTGCGCTGGACACTGCGGCAAACGAAACAGACGCGCTGCCCGTCCTCAGGAGCAGCCCAGCACGGGCGGGCGTCCTCCATAGGGGCCCACAGAAGGATGTTCACCTGTGCAGGCTTCCTAGTCACTGTCACAAATACTCAGGTCCACCTTCCACCACAAAAGCAGCATAGACAACACAATAGCCAAACTAACGGGCATGGCTTCGTTCCAATAATATTTTATTTATTAACACTGACATGTGCATTTCATATTATTTTCATGTGTAATGAAATATGCTTTTCTTTTTATTTTTTTTCCACCATTTAAAAATGTACAACACATTTTGAGCTTGCAGGCCAAACAAAACGAGGCCAAGGGCCGGATTGGGCTGGCAAGCCATAGCTGGCTGGCTCCTATCCTGGAGGAAAGCACTGGACAAACAGGCAAATAGACAGAACGTCGGAAGGTGACATGTGCTATGGAGAAGAGTCGATCAGTATAACGGAGAAAAGACAGGGCAGGAGGGTCGAAGGCTGTTTACAGAGGACTGCCAGAGGAGGAGATATTTGAGGAGACACTCGGGGAGGGAGGGAGCCCCGACTCTCTGCAGGAAGAGCCTTGCAGGTGGAGAGAGGGGTGAATGCAAGGGGGCCCCAGGCCAATGCAGGGAATGTGGCCTTTCTCTGACTGAGGGACACCTGGGCAGCTGCACCTCAAAGGAATCACTTTGACTGAAGTGATGAAAAGCAAAGCCAGCAGGACTTTTGACAAATAGGATGAAGGATGTGACTGAAAGAGGTATCAGCCTTTGGCTTAGAAATCCTGGCTGAGCTGGTCATCTTCTGAGATGGGCAGAACCAGCACTGTTCCCTCGGTCGCAGTGAAGAGCACGTGGAACCGTGCACTGAACGGCATGGCCCAGGGCCTGGTGTGTGGTTAGCTCAGGAAATGCGGCTCCTGGACCCATCGTGCATCTGCATGCACATGCCCGAACAGCGCTCACAGCGAGTGCGGACCTCCAGCCAGGAGGGAACTTCCGAAGGTGTCTTATATAAGGAGGCTTGTTGTCCACACCAGCTCCTTTTGAAGTTTATCTGCACTGAAAGTTGGAGAAGATACTTTAGGCTTAATTTTCCTCCAAGACTTTGACTTTGCTGATTGTATACCGAGCTCAGTGGTTACTTTGAAATTTCGGTGCATAAAGGTTGCTAACATGACAATGTCAGCTCCCATCTCCTGTGACAGGGTACCCTGAGTATTTAACTCTCTGGCTGTACGAATGAGGAAAGACAAGACCTCGGGGGAAAGAAGTCATCTCAGCTGGACCTGGAAAGACAAGTGGAATTTTGGAGGAGAGAAGAGATGAAGAAGAAAGTAATGGGGCTGGAAACTCACGGGCCGCCGGGTGAGTGGAAATGAAGGCCCACCCCAAATGCTATGCTCTGTACTTCCCACTTGTTACCCACGGGGACCCATTCATGATCTCTCCTCGAGGAAGAACCTGGGCAGGGAGGCTCCGGCGGCCCAGAAAGCAGAGCATTAGGCCAGAAGGGCGAGCAGGTGGGCGCTCGGAGAAATCAGTGCTTCCTGCGTAAGGCCTGGTCATCAGAATCACCCCGACTCTGTCACCCTCGTTTTCTAAGCCTCGTCCTAGGCTTACTACACCAGAAAACCCTAGCGGTGGGGCTCAAAGCACTTTTAACAAGTCCCCATGATGGTTTTTCAGTAGCCGCTGATATCAGTAAATTATTATAACACTAAGGGGACGAGGACGGCCCAAGGTGGCGCCCAGGAGATGGAGAGAAAGGAGCCATCAGAGGGCCATGGAGGAGAATTCCAGGACTTGGTCATCTTAGATCTTGAGGTTGACGGAGATGTTGAAGAAGGACCCTGTTGTTTAAATTTCTAACTCCTACCTCTGGTTGCTCGATGTAGAATATTGGAAACATTCAGACATTTACTAGGAACCTTGAAGGACCAAATGAACTACAGGAATCAGGCAGGACACCTGCAAAGAGCGGCCAAACAAATGCACTGTCCTCTACAGCAGAATTCTTCCATCGCAGCACTTACTGACATTGGGGCAAGATGACTCTTTGTTATGGGGGGCACTTTGGGGTGTTCAGAAGCAAGAGCCCCTATCATCCCCCTTCCCAACGTGTGACAATTCAGTGTCCCCAGACATTGTCAAATGTCCCCTTGAGGGCATAATCGCCTCTGGTTGAGAACAACTGCTTTAAAGATACAGTTCTTCACCTTTAGTAGTTGTAAAAATCACAAAATTAAGTTATGAAAATTCAATATGAATTACTTTTATTTTCAAACAACAAAAAGCTCTGGCAAATGGCTGGCTTTTGTGCTAAGACGTCTCGAGTGTCTGAGGAGCCTTAATACCGCACAGAGGGCGCAGCACCGGTCAGTAAGCCGATGGAAGTGGTGGCGGCGGAGGGCAGACAGAGTCCTGTTTCCCCCAGGAAACCGCTGCACCCTCCCTCGGGACCCTGAGGACTACACAGGTAGAAGAGAGTGCACGCCACCCTGTTATACTCGGGAAAGACCAGATGACTGGTTAGGGAATGGTCTCCTCTCGTTTCCGTATCTTCATCTAAGGCTGTTAATAGCTCGAGTTCACGGCTTACTCTTTACATATCTCATTTCAATGGAAACTGAGATTCGGACCTAGTGACTGAGCGTAGACACTCTTGCTCTGCGGCCCTTCCACGTTGGATGCTGTCGCCCGTGGACTGTGGAAGGAAACTGGAAGCTGCGTGGTTATGCAGGGCCTCCTGCAGGGAGGCCCGGTGCTGCTGTACGGGACTGCTGCCTCACACGGAAGGTCAGCGCCGAGTCTAAGAACAGAACCAGGTTCCGTGGGCACCGTGCTCCACACAGAAGCTGCCATAGCTCCACAAATGAATTTACTGTATCCGCATGAGATCCATAAAAGACATAAAATGTTTTATGCAGTCCACGTCACACGGACTTGGATTAATAAAGGAAACCAAGTTTTACAACTTTGACATTATTCTCAGGTGGCGTATCACTGAAAGAAAGAAGCTAATTATCATGACAGCCTAGGGAACTGTGTTGTCTCTACAGCTTTGCGAAGGGCCGAATGAAATGCCACTTCCGTGGGGATTAGCAGGAGCAAACTCCATCCCCAGCACACAGAGCCAAATGCCCCTAATGGTCTGCTCCCTGCTAATCCCTCTCCACCTGCATGTAAACAGTGAGAGGCTGTCACAAGAGGCTACTTAGAAACAGTCTCTTCTGGAACACAGTGGGCTTGTGCTCATGGTTTTGTTTCATATTTATATGTAAAAATCAATACCTGTATAATTTTCTGAAATGTTATTTCTTAGTCTATAGGGAAGACAATGAAAGAAAGTTTTATCATTAATGGATGTAAGACCCTAGGTCATTGGTAACTCCAAAATGTTTATTCAGGAAGGGGTTAGGAAAAATGGCCAATGTGAAAAGGACAGTGGAATTGTTTCAAGGCTGGGTTTGCACAGCAAGCACACGGGGTGTACACAGGTTGGAAGTGAATAGGGATTGGCTAAGAAGAGGAGCCCACAGAAATGATGGGAGTGTTAACCTCCCTCCTCCACCAACAGTGACTCCACGACCTTCTGCTGTCCTGGATATGAAATATTACACCAGGTTATTTGTTCTAGTGGCTACTCAATATAATCCGACACAGAGTGATGCTGGAAAAGGACTTTTCAGAAACTCCATGAGTCACAGATCGGGTGGCATTGCCCACGCGAGTCTGCCAATATAAAATAACACTGCCTCCTCCACGGCCGGGTGCAATGAGGGGGACCCACAGTTCACAGTGCTGGAGGCGCACATTACAGTTGCTTTGTCTGTACTTGCCTTGGTAGTTTTGACTTTATTGCCACTGCTACAGGACCAACCTGAGTAATCTGGCAGCACTTTGCAGTCCTCTCCTTCCAAACAAGGGTGCATGTGACACCACCGCTTCTGAATCACGATGGAAGCTGGAAAACAAGGGCAAAGGTTTGTGACACTGTTTCTGCCTCCGAATGTGGACAACATAAGCTCAGTGTGGATAAGTACACTGACCTCATTGATTATAGTATACTTAGTGAGATCTCAAACTTCAGGGGGGTCCTGACTTGTTTGAACCTGGCTGTGCTACTTTTTACAAATGGCCTTGGCCTCATTATTTCCCTCCTCTCCACCCCAGTTTCTTCATCTGAAAAATGGGGGTAAAAACAGAACCACACCACAGGAGATTGAGGATGAAACTAATTCGTGTGAAAGTCTTGGCTGACTCTGGGTCCGTCACTTATGTCCTCAGAAAACGTCAGTTATTACTGTGGTCTTCATCTGTGGTTGTAGGTTGCATGTTGATAGGGCCGAGTTGTTACGCTTCGTGCTTTTTGTTGCCAATAGCAAACACTGAAATAGCAAAGGCTGAAAGGGGTCCCGACACACGGTGCTCGCACCCACGTGCTTTCAGCGAGTGCCGAGCACTGCAAGCGGGGGCCTGGCAGCCCCTCCCGGGCCCACAGCCCAGCCCAGCCCGCTCACCTGTGAATTCACTTCCTCCTCAGCTCACTGCCCCTGCAGCGCTTGGCCAGTAACATGATTTGTTTTAAGTCTGTAAAGCAGAAACTAGCATCTCAGTTCTCCGGGTTTGGAGGCAGAAGAAGGAAGTGAGGAAGCACCATCAACTCGGCTTGTTATTCCCACAGATCCAAAGGACAGAAAGGGTTGTGACTGGTTTTTAAAGAGGCAGGTACAGGAGAACACGCTGGGGCCAGGCGCTGGGAGGGTGGGGAGAAATGAGGAGGATCTTAGCCCTATTTTTCTTGTTGAAACAGCAACACTGATAGGAAAGATCCCCAATGGATTTCACACAAACTACTACTACTTGAGAAGTTCGAAACTCAAATTCAAGCAAATCTTCATAAATCTCAACAGCGACACTGTCTTGAGGGCTGGGCATGCTGCTCATTGGCTTCCCTGCATTTTCCAATCTCAATATCACTGCAACCCTGAGGTTAAAAATTATTTTCTTTCATTCTATGGAGAAGAGAAAACCAAGGCCCAGAGGCACTAAGTGACTTATCCAAAGTCACCTGGTTTGAGAAAAGCCCAGCAACACTGCATGGAGGCCGTCTGACTCCGCAGCCGCGCTCTGGTCTTTAACTACGGGTGGGCAAAAGCAGGTCTCTAGTTGGGAGTACGTGAAACAGTGTATTCTTGTATTACTATTTATTAATAACTGTATTATTTTCCATTTTCCACATGAACAACTGTGTACCTACTTTGCCCATCCTGCACAGAGCCCATCCCTCACACCAGGGATCTCTAGTAGAAACAAGTCCTTGTATAGAGCCAGGACAAGAGTAGGTGACACAGCAAGCCAGGACACGCAGGCTCCTCTCATCAGGCAAATGCAGTGTGGCATGATGGGGCACAGGATGGTTTCACTGTCAGCTGACGTGGTCAGATACTGTGTCTAGCCTGATGCAGAAGAGTGGCCCCCATTCCGGATTCTGGCCACATCCTGAGCTCCTGTCCCAGGAGTCCCATCGAAACCAGCAACCGGAGCGAGACGGTTTGTGATCTAGGGTAACCCTTTGCTATGTACATCAGACGGTGCCAACACTGCGGAAGGAGGACGGCTAGGTGGGTTACGATTTTGTCAGAGGCTTGAGTGGATGGACACATTGGGGCAAAGCCTGAGAAAGTTTATTCTTTTCAGCCCCAACTACCACAATAATCTCATCTTCAAACTAGATGGAGTTTTGTCATTTTCAAAGCACTTTTATCTACTGTTCCTCTTTTGATTGTCCCAACAACCTTCAGAAGCAGGAAGTGGATGCAGAAGTCTCCAGAAATAAACACCAGAGCTTTCCATAAAGTGAGTCAAATGAGAGAGGAGGTATTAGATTTAATGTTCTCTCTCCACCCGTCTTTCTACGATGCCACAATTTATAAGGATTTAGATTAATAAGTGCTCCATAGTGTCTGACCATATTTATTGTGCTGACCACTCATTTGTTATTTTCTGAATACCCAAGTGGATAGAAAGATAAATAAGAGATGGTTCCCAACCCTTAATTTAAAATACCATCTGCAGGACTGGAGAAGTTTTATCAATGTTGACAGAGCTTAGTTATATTTACACAGAGTTAAAGCTGAATTTAAAATACTTTTTTTTTAATCTTTAAAACTGTTCCCTAGACACTTGCTTTCACTCAGCAGGGGGGCTAGATACCCTTCAAAGGAGTCGGCCACGTAGAAGAGTCAGAAGAAGCGGTGATGGACAGATGGTCAGCGACGTGTCCGAGCGGGGCCAGGAGACACTGCGGCAGTGAGCGGCTGACCTGGAAGCCCGCAGACCGCGTGGTCGGGGGGAGGCAGCACGGGCACCCTGGGCAAGGCCATCGCTCGGCTGGGGAGCATGCTCTAGAAAGCAGTCCCCAGGGACTCCTGAGGCCAGTCTGAGATTAGACACGGTCCTCCGCGCAGTGGGGAGCCACGCAGTGTTTGTGGGCAAGGCAGTGCAGGAAGCCAGCGGCCTGCGCACCTGAGTCAGCCTGCCAGGGGATTACAAAAGAATGCAGGTGGAAAGGAGTCTGAAAGGTGTGAGTGAGGTGAGAAATCTGAGAAATCTGGGAATTAATTCTTTGCAGAGGAAATAGAGTGAATCACATTATCTCAACTTCACAGCAGAAAAATATCAGTGCTTCCTTATAGGGGTCATGGGAACCAAGGTAATTCTGATGCCAAACCCTAGAAAAGAAGCTTGAGGAGAAAAAAATGATGTATTCAGGCATTCATCACCAAAAAAATATGCCAGGTCTTAAGTACAAAAAAATAATATTATTTGCCTAGTATTTGGCTTGAAGATTTAAATAAAATGTGTTTAAATAAAGAAGTATGTACAATCAAACTCTTGTGAAATTATTCACCAGTTTTCTTTCATTTAATTGGAAAATATGAAGTGACTTTCCAAATACAGATTCACAGGAGCCTCCTTAAAATAGCAAGCTGCACTGGATTTGAGATGTTTTATTTTTTAAAAATCTTTTTCGTATCTTAGAGAAGGATACATTGAATGAGGTGCCCCTAGAAGTGGACACTTTATCCATGATAGAGCTTCATTGTGAAAGACTTGATAGCAAATGTTCTTTCAGAAAAAACAGACATGACAAGAGCCAACACAATAGCCAAAATAAAAGTTGCGAATTCCTTTAGGAGTTAAAGATTGATGAAGGAACTCACTGTTAAGAGTTTGACCCGGGTGTGAATAAGGTGATTAAACAGTCGGGAAATTGAAGATTTCGGTGCACGCTGAGCAGGGCCACAGCGGAGACAAAGGGCCCAGAAGTAGGATTCTACTAAAATAACTCCTGAGTACACCTGCCCACTTACCTGGGCCTTGTCTCCACAGGAAAATAACTGTAGGAGGCATACATTTTTTCCCCTGTTACAAATACCATAACATACTTTAAATGAGACAGTGTCTTCTATTTAAAAAAAAAATCCTTAAAAGTCCTCATGCTTTCCTAACTTATAAAAACATACAGATGCCAACCTCGCCTGGCCAACGTGGCTCAGTGGATTGAACATCATCCCTGTTCGATTCCCAGTCAGGGCGCATGCCCAGATTCAGGGCTCAATCACCAGTAGGGGGCGATGAGGAGGCAGCTCATAGATGTTTCTCACATGGATGTTTCTATCTCTCCCTTCCTCTCTAAAAAAAAAAAAAAATCAATAGAAATATATATTAAGTGCTTGCTTTGACAGCACGCATATTAAAATTGGAACAATACAGAGAATATTAGCATGGCCCTTACACAGGATCACACACAAATTTGTGAAGTATTCCATATTTTTAAGAAATAATGACAAAAAACCTCCCTAAACCGGTGAAGAAAAAATTCACACAAGTCCAGGAAACATAGAGAATCCCAAGCAAGATGAACCCCAGAAGACCCACAGCTAGACACATCATAATAAAAATGGTGAACATTAAAGACAAAGAAAGAATCTTAAAGGAAGCAAGAGAGAGACAGAAAGTTACCTACAAGGGAGTTCCCATTAGACTGTCAGCTGATTTCTCAATAGAAACTGCAGACCAGAAGGGAGTGGCATGTAGTATACAAAGGAATGCAAGGCAAGAGTCTGAATCCAAGACTACTCTATCCAGCAAGGCTATCATTCAAAATTGAAGGTGGAAGAAAGCGCTTCACAGACAAAAAAAATCAAAAGGAATTTACCACCACCAAACCAGCACTGCAAGAAATGCTGAAGGGACTGCTGTAAAAAGAAGAAGAAACGAGAGAGACGGGGGGGGGGGGGGGGGCGGGGGGGGCGAGAAACAGAGGCATAAAATAAAAATGGCAACTAATAAGTATCTACCAATAATAACCTTAAATGTAATTGGCTTAAATGCTCCAATAAAAAGACAGAGAGTAGCTGACTGGATAAGAAAACACAACCGATATATATGCTGTTTACAAGAGACCCATCTCAAAACAAAAGAATGAAAGTGAAGAGATGGAAAAAAATTTCCAAGCAAATGGAAATGAAAAAAAAAGCTGGCGTACATTTTATTCCATATATAAGTGAAATCATGTGGTATTTGTCTTTTGCTGCTTGGCTTATTTCACTTAGGATAATACTTTCCAAGTCCCTCCATGTCGTCTCAACGGATAAGAGATCTTTCTTTCTTACCGCTGCATAGTACTCCATTGTGTATATGTACCACTGCTTTTTTATCCATTCATCTACTGATGGACACTTGGGCTGTTTCCAGATCTTAGCTATTGTAAATAGTGCAGCTATGAACATGGGGGTACATGGAAGTAGGGCACAGATTGACATCCCTCAGAAGAGGGGGTAGGGGGTGGGGTGGGAAAAGATAAACCACAGAACTTATATGCATGTATGCATGACCAACGGACATGGACAACTAAGCCGGGGACGGGGCGGGGGTGGGGTGGGAAGGGGGTGCCAATGGGGTAAAAAAGGAGAAATATCTGTTAACAAAAAATAAATAAAAAATTTAAAAAAATAAAAGCTGGTGTAGCAATACTCATATATGATAGGATAGACTTTAAAACAAGAGCCATAATAAGAGACAAAGAAGGTCACTACATAATATTAACAGGATCAATCCAACAAAAGGATATAACCCTGGTAAACATATATACACCAAATACGGGAGCACCAAAATATATTAAAAACTTCTGGAGGACTTCAAGAGAGAGAGCAATAGCAATACAATCATAGTGGGTGACTTTAACACCCCACTGACACCACTGGATAGATCTTCTAGACAAAAAATTAACAAGGACACAGAGTCTTTAAATGACAAAACTAGATCAGTTGGACTTAATTGATATTTACAGAACATTTAACCCCAAAGCTACAGAATATACATTCTTCTCAAGTGCACATGGGACATTCTCAAAAATGGACCACATGTTAGGACACAAAGTAAGTCTCTACACATTCAAGAAGACTGAAATCATATCAAGCATCTTCTCAAATCACAATGCAATAAAACTGGAATTCAATTACAACAAAAACCTTCAAACACTTGGAGGCTAAATAGCATGTTATTAAACAACAAATAGGTTACCAAGAAGATCAAGAAAGAAATTAAAAGTTCCTGGAAACCAATGAAAACGAACACACAACAACACAAAATCTATTGGACACAGCAAAAGCAGTTCTGAGAGGGAAGTTCATAGTACTACAGGCCTACCTCAAGAAACAAGAAAATTTCCTAATTGACTTTCTAACCCTACAACTTAAAGAACTAGAAAGGAAACAAAAAGAAAACCCAGAGCATGTAGAAGGAAAGAAATAGTAAAGGTCAGAGCAGAAATAAACTACAAAGAATAAAAAAACAAAACAATTCAAAAGATCAATGAAACAAAGAGCTGGTTATTTGAAAAGATAAACAAGATTGATGGACCTTTAGCCAGTCTCACCAAGAAACAAAAAGATCCAAGACTACTCTATCCAGCAAGGCTATCGTTCAAAATAGAAGGTCAAATAAAGAGCTTTCCAGACCAAAAAAAAAAAAAAGGCTAAGGGAATATATTAACACCAAACCAGCACTGCAAGATATGTAAAAGGACTGCTGTAATTAGTAGATGAAGTAGGAAGAAAAATAGAACCACACTAAACAAAAATGGCAATAAATAAGTACATATCAATTATCACCTTAAATGTAAATGGTTTGAATGCTCCGATAAAAAAACACAAAGTAGCTGACTGGATAAGAAAGCATGACTCACATATATGTTGTTTACAAGAGACCCACTTCACAACAAAAGACTCACATAGGTTGAAAGTGAAGGGATGGAAAAAAATCCTCCAAGCAAATGGAAAGGAAAAAACAGCTGGGGTAGCAATACTCATATTTGATAAAGTCGATTTCAAAATGAAGACCATAACTAGACACAAAGAATGCCACTCAATAATATTGAAAGGATCTATCCGACGGGAATATATAACCTTGGTAAACATATATACACCCAATATAGGAGCGCCAACATATATTAAAAATCTTTTGGAAAACTTCAAAGGAGAATTTGACAGCAATACAATCATAGCAGAGAACTTCAACACCCCGCTGACATCACTGGATAGATCTTCTAAACAAAAAATTAAAAAGGAAACACAGACCCTAAATAAAGCGCTACATCAAATCTACAGAGAATTACACCACAAAACTGCAGAATTCACATTCTTCTCAAGTGCACATGGGACATTCTCAAAGATAGACCATAAGTTAGGATACAAACTAAGTCTCTACAAGTTCAAGAAGATCAAAATCATATCAAGCATCTTCTCAGATCACAATGGCATGAAACTAGAAATCAACTGCAACAAGAACATGCAAAGACATTTGAAAACATAGAGGCTAAATAGCATGTTATTGAACAATGAATGGGTTACTATAGAGATCAAGGAAGAAATTAAAAACTTCCTGGAAACCAATGAAAATGAACACACAACAACACAAAATCTATGGGAAGCAGCAAAAGCAGTTCTGAGAGGGAAGTTCATAGCACTACAGGTCTACCTCAAGAAACAAGAAAAATTTCTAACAGAATATCTAACCTCACAACTTAAAGAACTAGAAAGCAAACAAAAAGAAAACCCCAGAGCAAGTAAAAGGAAGGAAATAATAAAGATCGGAGCAGAAATAAATGACATGGAGACCAAAAAAACAATTCAAAGGATCAATGAAACAAAGAGCTGGTTCTTTGAAAAGATAAACAAGATTAATGGACCCTTAGCTAGACTCACCAAGAAACAAAGAGAACCCAAATACACAAAATCAGAAATGAAAGAAGAGAAATAATAACTGACACCACAGAAATACAACAAATTATTAACAAATATTATGAACAATTAAATGGTAACAAATTCGACAATCTAAGTAAACTGGACCAATTTCTAGAAACACATAGTCTCCCAAAACTGAACTGGGAACAGATAGAAAACCTGAACAGACCAATAACAACTAAGGAAACTGAAGATGTAATCAAGAAACTCCCATTAAACAAAAGCCCAGGCCCGAACGGCTTCACAGGGGATTTTTACTGAACATTCAAAGATCTAACACTCACTCTCCTGAAACTATTCCAAAAAAATCCAAGAAGATGGAAGACTACCAAACTCATTTTATGAGGCCAGCATAATCCTAATTCCAAAACCAGAAAAAGACACTACAAAGAAAGAAAACTCAAGTCAATATCCCTGATGAACACAGATGCCAAAATCCTGAACAAAATATTACCAAATCGGAACCAGCAATACAACAAAAAAAAAGTATTCATCATGAGCAAGTGGGATTCAACCCAGGGATGCAAGGATGGTACAACATTTGCAAATCAATAAATGTGATACACCACAAAATGAAAGATAAAAACCATGTGATCATATCAATAGATGTTGAAAAATCTTTTGACAAAATCCAGCTCCCATTTCCAGTAAAAATGCTCAGCAATGTGGGAAGAGAGGGACCATGTCTCGGCATAATAAAGTCCATGTATGAAAAAACTACAGCCAACATCATACTCAATGGCAAAAACTAAAAGTATTTCCCTTAAGAACAGGAACAAGACAGAGATGCCCACTTTCACCATTCTCATTTAACATAGTACTGGAAGTCTTAGCTACAGCAATTAGACATGAAGAAAAAATAAAAGAGATCCAAATTGGAAAGGAGGAAGTCATTATTTGCAGAAGACATGATATTGTACATAGAAAACCCTAAAGACTCCATCAAAAATCTACTAGACTGGCCCTAGCCAATTTGGCTCAGCGGTTAGAGTGTCAGCCCATGAAACAGAGAGTCCAGGGTTCGGTCCCTGCTAAGGGCACATACATCGGTTGCAGTTTGTCCCTGGTCCTGGTTGGGGTCATGTGGGTGGCAGCCAGTCGATGTGTGTCTCTCACATTGATGTTTCTCTCTCTCTTCCTTCCTCTATCCCTCCCACTGTATCTGAAGATAAATGCAAAAATGTCTTCAGGTGAGGATAAGAAAAAAAAATCTAACAGACTTAATACATGAATTTGGCAAAGTAGCAGGATACAAAATTAACATCAAGAAATTGATGGCATTTTTATACACCAATGATGAACTCACAGAAAGAGAAAAAAAAATCCCACTTACCATCTTGGCAAAAAATTGAGATACCTAGGAATAAACTTAACCAAAGAAGTAAAGGAGCTCTTCACAGAAAACTACAGGTCATTGGAAAAAGAAATAGAAGAAGATATTAAAAAGTAGAAGCGTATACCTTGTTCATAGATTGGAAGAATTAACATCAGTAAAATGTCCATACTACCCAAAGCAATCTATAGATTCA